CAGATTTGCCCCTTCATGTGCAGATTTTTAGAGCTTGAAAAAGCAGAAAAAAAACATGCGGTAAACCAAACTTTGGTTCTGCTGTCTGCTTGGAATTCGGCCTAAACCATTGTACTTTCCTCCTAACGTGTCTTTATTCAATTAGTTTCAAAAGATTAAACTGGAATTTATCATCCAGACATCACCAGATTATATCATTTATAAATCTCCTGAAGGGGCAAAAAAAAAGACAAAATCACTTTTTAGAAAAAGAAAATTTCTTTCACATGCTTACATAGTTACATAGTTAGTGGGGTTGAAAAAAGACACTAATTTAACTAGTTCAGCCAACAAGAAAATGATATTGAAAATCTCCATAAACACTATTCTATATGCACAGTTGATCCAGAGGAAGGCTAAAAACCCCCAATAAAGCATGATCCAATTTTCTCCAGTGGGGGGAAAAAAAATCCTCCCTGACCCCCCCCCCCCCCCCCGGGAGGCAATTGGATATTCCCTGGATCAACTACTTCTGTTGTTATTAGCTCTAAATATTAGTATCCAGTTATATTATGTGCATTTGGGAATTCATCCAGGCCATTTTTCAAACTATTTACTGAGCTGGCCAGAACCAGTTCTTGAGTGAGTGTATACACTCCATAGCTCTTACTGTGAAGAAGCCTTTCTGTATGTGCTGGTTAAATCTCTTTTCCTCCAGACATAAAGAGTGCCCTCTTGTCAATGACCTGAAAGTGAAATAATTCTACACCGAGTTCACTATATGGACAACTGATGTATTTATACACGTTGATCATATCCCTACTTAATCTCCTCTTCTCAAGAGAGAATAATTTCAGTTCAGCTAATCTTTTCTGATAGCTTAGCTCCTCCTTGCCTGGTTGCCCTTGTCTGCACTTTCTCCAGTTCTCTGATATCCTTTTTCTGAACTGGTGCCCAAAACTGAACAGCATATTCTACAGTAGATGAGGTTTTTCTAATGATTTGTAGATGGGCAAAATTATGTTTCTCTCTCTGAAATTTATACCTCTTTTGATACAAGAGAGCATTTTGCTCGCTTCAGAAACCACAGCTTGGCATTGCATGCCATTATTAAGTCTATGATCAACCAGAACACCCAAGTCCTTCTCTGCCATTGACTCCCCAAGCTGTTCTCCTCTTAGAATGTATGATGCATGCGTATTCATAGCCCTCAAGGGCCCAGCTTTACATTTATCAACATTAAACCTCATTTGCCACATAGTTGCTCAATTAAATAATGCAATGTCATCTACAAACACTAAAATTGTACTTTTATTCCAAACCTCTGTATCATTTATAAATATGTTAAATGTAAGGGTCCCAACACTGAACCTTGGGGTACACCACTGACAACCCCAGACCATTCAGAGTATGAATCATTAACCACTACTCTCTGAATACGGTCTGCTAGCCAGTTTTCTACCCATGTGTAAATTGAATTTTCTATGCCTGTAGATATTAACTTACACATTAGCCCTGTGTGGGGAACTTTTTCAAATGCTTTGGCAAAATCCAAGTATATTATATCCACAGCCACTTCTTTGTCTAAGTTTTTGCTTACTTCCTCATAAAAAGAAATCAGATTTGTTTGACATCTTTAGCTCTCTGATCTTCCCCTCCAGTTCTCCCTAGAGCTCCTGGCTGTGGAGGGGGTGGGAATGGCTGGCTCAGGCTCTCAACAGCTCTCTGAGATGCTGATCTGGCTGCTGGTCCAGGCATCCGGATGGATCCTGACTTTAAATTCAGGATCTCTCCAGAACCTGGACTGACTCAGTGATGTCAGCCAATAGTTGTCTTTAGCCTGCTGTGTCACAGGAGTGCAGAACAAAGTGCACTCCTGTGATCCATAGGAGAGCTACGGCCAAAAGAGTTTTGGCCCTACTTCTCCTTTAAGGGCTCACATTCACGTGCTTGAATATGAAAAGTGATGCAATGCTCATTAACCACTTAAGGACCGCCCTATAGCAGATATACTGCTACAGGGCGGCACCTGTGCGCAGAATCACGTATATATACTTCATTTTGCATTCTCTGGTAGAGGGCGGGTGGATGTCAATCACTGGGTCCCAGCCGGTAATTACCCGCCGTGGTCCGGTGATTACTGAGTATCTCCAGTTTTGTTTACAATCTTTCTCCCAGTCAGCACACTGTTCGGAATGGTTGTGCCCAGTACAGCCATCCCAATCAGTGTTCTTACAGTTAAGAACACACCCCCCGCCCCTAGTAAAACACTCCCAGCAAACAGTTAACCCTTTGATCGCCCCTCACATTAACCCCTTCCTGCCCAGTGCCATTAGTACAGTGTCAGTTTAAACACTATAGGTATGGTCAAGGTGTAGCTATGGCTTGTTATCATTGAAATGAATGGAGGCAGCTGATAAGCATCAATACCTCTTGAAAGCGACATGCTGCTTAAATTTTAACACAACACAGCACAACAAAATGCTACCTTTCCTGTGTGTACTGCACTAGGTGGTGCCCATTGTAATATTCATGACTACCAATGAAGGGCGGGGATGAGGCTTTTAAAATGCTGCTTAAACACAGGGTATTGACATGCATGTTAACCACATCCCGACTGCCCTATAGCAGATATACTGCTACAGAGCGGTAGGGGTGCACAAAGTCATATATATGTATACACTTGATTTTGTATTTCCATTTGCGGCCACGGCTGTCAATCACCAGGTCCTGGCCGGTGATTACTCGCCGGATCCCTGTGATTGCCAAGCATCTCCGAGGGAGAGGAGGACTGCTTTGTTTACTAACAGTCCTCCTCCCTGTCAGCTCAGGCAGACAGAGCAGTGTGCTTACAGTGAAGCACTAACACACCGCCCCCCCAGTAAGACACTCCCAGCACACAGTTAACTCTTTGTATTTCAATAGTTTTTATTAGTTTTAAGCAGTATAAAACAGAGGCGACACAAAACATGCCCCCACAGGGGCTATCAAATTGCACCGATAAGATAAAAAACATAATAATAAAAGAAAAACAGTGCTCTAACTTCAACAAGGCAGAAGGTACGCCCACGCAGGGGCTATCAATGGCACATAGGTTACAATGACGGTAATGAAATTCTAACTGCAATTAAAGGCAACTGTCAACTATCACCCAAAAAAACTAACAGAAATGGAAAGAAAGAAAGAGAAGAGAAATAAGAGGAGAGAAAAAGAAAAAAAAGAGAAGAGGGGGCAGAGATCCAGGAGCGCCACCATCAAACGCCAGTGCCTAACGTCAGTACATCCCCATACTAGCCAAAGGAAGCGTGGGGAAAGGCATATTGCAACCATGGTTCCCATATTTTCGAGAATTTACATTGGGAGTCGTTGCATATGCTCGACATCTGCTCATTAAGCATCATATTGGTCATACGATCCCGCACCCCCTGAAAAGGGACAAACGGACTCTTCCAGGCCTGAGCAATTGTTCTGGTGGCCGACAGAAACAAATAGGACGCCAGCTTCTGCTGATGAGCAAAGAGACCCGGTATGGGGCAATGAAGCAAGGCATACCGAGCATCCCGGCGTATGGATAGATGAAACAACGTGAAAAGGAGGCCAAATACACGAGACCAAAAACGGACCAGTCTCGGGCTATGACCACCAGATATGCAAGACATCGCCACGATGCCACAACCCCGGAAACATCCAAGCGGGATTAGCCTGGGCCAAACGAGCCGGAACCCAATACCAACGAAACAATACCTTATAGGCTGCCTCCAGCGTGGTGGTATTGAATGAGCATTTAGCTATGAGTGACCAGATCCACATCCACCCCCAGGTCACGCTCCCACTGAACAACATATGAAAGAGAAGTATGCGACGGGCGTCTGTTCAAGGCTGCATAAAGAAGGGAGATAAGGCCCGGGGCACCCAGGCGCTGCTGACAAAGCTGTTCAAAGGCCGATTTCTGGTATGGAAAAGAAGAAGTGCCCCGCAGCGAGAGTAGCCAGTGCCGCATTGAAGGTATCGAAAAAATTCCGCCGGGGGAACATCCCGGGACTCCCGAAAAGATCCCACCGAGAAACCAAAAAAGTTCGTACCTGCAGTTTAACTCTTTGATCGCTCCTCATGTTAACCTCTTCCTGACCACTGCCATTAGTACAGTGTCAGCACTGATCACTGTATTGGTGTTACTGGGCATGTCAGTGACACCAAATCAGTTCTTCCCCAGTGTCAGAATGTCCGCCACTATAAGTTGCTGATTGCCGCCATTACTAGTAAAGAAAAAAAGAAAATTCCAGTATCTATACCATCATTTGTAAACGCTATAACTTTCATGTAAACCAATTAATTTACATGTATTGGGATTTTTTTTTAGCAGAGACATGTAGCAGAATACATTTTGTTTATGCTGAAATTTGAGTTTTAAATTTTTTTTACTGGACATGTTTAATCACTTATGCCCCCTTCCTGCCCAGGCCAATTTCCAGCTTTCAGTGCTGTCACACTTTGAATGACAATTGCGCGGTCATGCAACACTGTACCCATATGAAATTGTTATAATTTTTTTGTGACAGATAGAGTTTTATTTTGGTGGTATTTAATCACATCTGGGATTTTTATTTTTTCTTAAACAAACCAAAAACCACAGAAAATTTTGAAAAAAAAAGTTTTTTCTTAGTTTTTGTTATACAATTTTGTAAATAAGTGATTTTTCTCCTTCACTGATGTGCGCTAATGAGGCTGCAGTGATGGGCACTGATAGGCTGCACTGATGGACACCGATAGGTGACACTGATGGGCACTGATGAGGAGGCACTGGTAGGTTGCACTGATGGTCATTGACAGGCATCACTGATGGGCACTGAAAGGCGGCACTGATACATGACACTGATAGGCAGCACTGACTGGCACTGTTAGGCAGCACTGACTGGCACTGATAGGCGGCACTGACTGGCACTGATAGGCGGCACTGACTGGCACTGATAGGCGGCACTGATGCGCACTGATAGGCGGCACTGACTGGCACTGATAGGTGGCACTGATTGGCAGCACTGATAGGTGGCACTGATTGGCATTGATGGTGACATGGTGACATTGAAAGGCAGCTCAGATGGCCACTGATATGTGGCATTGATGTGCACTGGTATGCACTGATATGTGGCATTGATGTCTCACTGATGGGCACTGGCACGTGACACTGATGAGCACTGACTGCTGGCACTGATGGACACTGACAGGTGACACTTCTGGGGCCACGCTGATCATCAGGGCACACTGATCATCAGTGCCCTGATGATCAGTGTACATGTCCCCTCTGCGGAAAGCCAATTACCGGCTCTCCTCTCCTCTCGAGCTGTCAGCGTGACAGCTCAGAGGAGAGAAATGCCGATAACCGGCATTTCCGTGTTTACATGTGATCAGCTGTGATTGGACACAGCTGATCACATGACCGAGCCGACATCTTCGGCTTTTTCCGTGATCCGCTGTGTCCGAGGGACACAGCGCACCGGCGATCGCTGTGCTGCGCGCTCCCTGAGCCGCGCATGCGCGGTGAGAATGGAAGGACGTCATATGATGTCCTATCAGAACGAGCGAACCACCTTGCGCCCATCATTGTACTATATGGCGGGCGGAAGGTGGTTAATAGCAAAAAGTCAAAAATATTGTTTTGTTCTCAAAATTGTCAGGCTTTTTCTTTATAGCGCAAAAAATGAAAATATGCACAGGTGATCAAATACCACTGAAAGAAAGCTCAATTCGCTGGGGAAAAAAAGGACATAATTTTCATTTGGGTGCAGTGTTGCATGACCATGCAATTGTCAGTTAAAGTAACACAGCGCCGTGACGCAAAAAATGGCCTGGTCAGGAGGGGAAAAATCTTCAGGAAGGTAAGTGGTTAATGAGCCGAAAAAAAAATATTTACTTTTTTTCCCTACAACTGTATGTACATACTGTATATTCATACTTATCACACATACATTATGGCGACATCCTTTTTCACACTGGGGCACTCTGTGCAGTAAAGCTGTGTTTTGATTGGTTAACGAGGGTAATTTAAAGCTGAAGTTTAGTCAAAAAATACTTTTGCTCCTGTATCTGCAGTCACTCACCTGTAGTGAAGTATGTTCCACCTCCATCACTTAGCTGGATCCTCCCTCCTTCCTCCACTGAGAAAAGCCCACTGCCTGTTACACGATCTGTGAATGAGGGAGAGTCTGATGAATTATAAGATTCTCTCCCCCATTCACAGATTGTGTTACCGGCAGTGTAATCAATGCACAGACATTTCTCAATGGTGGAAGAAGAGAGGAGGGGTGGATCCCCATTGGTTCTTTTTTGCTGCAGCTCACAGTACACTCGGAGCTTTTAATTCCCTCTGGCCAAAAGTTCAGCAGCAAGAAGAGGACCTGCCATCAGTACATAGAAGATATCTACAGAATCCAGCAGACATGGGACACACTTCATTACAGGTAAGTTATGTGACTGCAGGCATAGTAGCAATATTATATTTTGATTAAACTTGGGATTTAACCTGTTCCCACCCAGCCAACAGCAGAATGTCGGACTCGGCGATCCAGGTGGGCGTCATATGACGTCCATCCCAGATCACACCTTGCGCTTGCCAGGGGGGTCGCTGTGGCGAGATCTGTCTTCGTCTCTGTACTTCGGACACAGTCGATGACAGATCTGTGTACCAGCCTGTTGTCAGTACAATGCGACCTGCTGTGACCAATCACAGCAGGTCACAGGATAATTGTAAACAATGGATGGCTTCCTTTCATGCCATACATTGTATACATTTGTGTCACTAGCTGTGGTTGGTCACAGTGACTACATGTACAGACTGGACCAATCACAGCCCATCTGTGTCATGTGATTATCCGTGGCCAATCACAGCTAATCACAACAAAAAAACCTGAATGAATTGATTTCATTCAGTTAAATGATTGCTTATAGCAAAGACATTCTTTGCTATAAGCAATCATAATGTGTAAGGAAAAACAAAATACTGATCACTTCCCCAAAGTAGTACAATGTTACTATGGAAACATTATACTACTTTGGCCACAGTGTATTATGAATTTTTTCTTTAAAAAAAAGTATAAAAAAATAAAAAATAGTAAACAAATTAAAAACATTTTTTTTTTTTTTTGTACTGTCACCAGTCAGTGTCCCTGATCACCGCCATGCCAGTTATATGATGACGCTGTACTGCACTGGTGACAGTATGTTAAAAAAAAATTGTGGAATTTTTTTTTAATTTCTTAATTTTCACAAAAATTATGAAAAAATTTACAACTTCAAAAAAACTCACCATGCTTTTTACTAAATACCTCAGACTGTCTGCTATGCAAAAAGGGGTCAATTGAGGGATATCTGTACTGTCCTGACATTTTTGGGCCTCAAGAAATTAGATTGGCCGTCAGTACTTCAAGATTGATCAATTTTCAGATATATCCCATAGATTGTGAACTCTATAATTTTCCTACAGACTAAATATAAAATACTGATTTAGGTTATTTTCACCAAAGAAATGCAGCAGAATACATCTTGGCCTAAATTCATGAAGAACAATTATTTATTTGCAAAATTGTATAACAAAACCAAAGAAAAATGTGGGGTTTTTTTTGTTTAAAAATTTTCGGTCTTCTTTCATTAATTTAGCAAAAAATAAAAACCCCAGTGGGGATTAAACACCACCAAATGAAGCTATAGTTGTGTGAACAAAATGATAAAAATTTAGTTTGGGTACAGTGTTGCATGACCGCATTCAAAGTTTCAGAGCGCTGAAAGCTGAAAATTGGCCTGGGCAGGAAGGGGGTAAAAGTGCCCGGTATTGAAGTGGTTAAGGTATGTAAGCCGTAGCAAATGTTATGCCTTGACAAAGATGACCTGCACACCCTTAAAACGTGTCGGTGATTGCTCTTTGCAGTAAAAAGGCTTGATGGCTTACATGGAACGCTGTCCTTTCTTCATAATGAGTTTCTAGAAGTGCCACTGCTGGCCATATACCTAGGAAGTTTGAGGTGAGAGGTTGGATACATGTTCCTTTTTAACACCTACCACAACAAGTTATAACTATGCAGAAATATGTCTTAGACATGTGCAAAGTAATAAAACCCAGACACCAATTTCATTGTTTAACACTTCAAATTCATTCAGAAATGAAAGATGATTGATGATTGGTTATCTTGGATTACTGCACTCTGAATGTTGCTGTTTTCTTTACTAAAAAAAAATGTTTTCTATACATATGATTACCCTTATAACAGTGGTCCATATTAGAGATATTAGAGAAGTCATGACTCTGTAGTATAAATAGCTGTATTACAGCTTTATTAAACCAAGGACCCTGTATTCACTATGTCCGCTCTTCCAGAGTACACAGAACATGGAAATGCTATTATTTTAGTAAATATAAACTGCTAAATACCTTTTCTTATCAGCAGTATATAGAAGTCTTGTGACTTCTATCAGTATCCAGCCAAGCACTGATTAAAGCTTGCAGGAGGAGTTTTCCTTTGTCCTCTGACTGTCCTATGAGGCTGCATGTTCTCTGACCCTTTGTCTGGACAGTGCTGATTGGCTGATTACATGCACCCTCCCCGCTTCCCAAAAAAAACCCAACTCTCTAGCAATACACACCAAACTGAGCATATGCAGAGTGCCTCCTAGGGCTTTGTACTATCAGCAGATGGATTGGAGACTGTGGAAGAAGAAGGGGGGGGGGGGGGGGAATAAAGCAGACAGAATCAAACAGCCTTTTAGCCTTTTTACACAATGCAGATGATTAACGCCTTAAGCTGCACAGTGAGTATCAGAAAAAAAGTCCAATAAAGTGCATTTCCTGACACCATAAAAAACAAATGAAAGTCTTTTAGGAGGATGCTGGATCATGCCTGTTTTCCAAACCAATCTTCTTCACCACTGGTATTAAATAGTTGAATTCCACACCCACCAGAAGATTTTGACCCCGTTAGGATGGTCAAACAGCGCTAGGTCCCCCAAGCATGTTCTCTTGTGAGGTGAATCTCCAAAATCCCCTTTAATCAATAATGTATTTCAAATGGGCTCAATAAAACAACAGATATCCATAAAAAGGCATCTAAGTGCAATATTTCTTAAGATTCTTGGTACCAAATAAAATGTATGAAAATACCACTCACATGGTAAGGTGCCTAAAGTATTATATATAAGGCCAAAAAAGTTTTGATTGGGTGGCTCCACCAATATGGCGACCGCTAAAAAAGTCAATAGTATACTATGGGTGACAACCAGGGGCGGACTGACAACTCATGGGGCCCCCGGGCAATAGGGGATCATGGGATGGGGCCCTTGTGTCCTTGCCCAAACTCAAAAAAGCCTATGAAAAAGGTACCAGGGGCATCTCATGGGGCCCCCTACTGACCTCGGGCCCTCGGGCAGTGCCTGAGTTTCCAAATGGTCAGTCCGCCCCTGGTGACAACTGTAGCTGGCTGTATGTACTGCTGTGGTTCACAAAAGCAGGGTGCATATAATTTGTTTATAATTTAATATTGAGTAAGGCTAGGTTCACATCGGTGTGGGTGCAGCAGCACCACCCACACATAGGAATGCGGACCCGCGGACGGGTGCCATTAATTCTAATGGAACGTTGTCCGCACTGGAAAACGCAACAGTACTGGGAACCGAGGATCCCGTGTGGGCTGCGTTTTTGGAAAAAGTGCAGGGACTTTTTCCCTGCATGTCACGGGGCATGGGAGTCCATTCAAATGAATGGGCTCTCGTGCCCGCGCAAAACGTGGACTGCATGGCTGCATATATGTGAACCGGAGCTAAGCGCCTCTGCACCTATCACTTTCTGCATTCAAGTCATGTGTATACATTTATTAGGGGCAGATGTTACTATGTAATATATAATTAATTGGTTATTTTAGCTATCACGGTCACTTTTGTTATAAGGAGGTGCCACAATTTTGAGTATTTGTTATGGTCCACAGTGAGTATAACAAGTATGCTTTACTGCATATACAGACTGATTTTACTGTTGTGGTTTTAGTAACACTTTAAGCCCAAAAGCAAACATTTGTTAAATTGTAGATTGTTTAGGCTTTTTTTCCTTTACTCGCACTTGGTGATCCAGCCAGCAAGTCTGTTATTCTTTGAACAGAACAAGCTGTCTAGGAGATGTATCAGTTAGTTGGTTGAGACAAACCATTTAAGGGCTCATGTACACTGCAGCTGATAAACTGACATTCAGGAGCTGTTCAGTGTTTTTTTCAGCAGCCCCTGAACTCTCCCTAATGTTTTCCTATGTGTCCATGTACACATCTTCGTTTACAGTTGTTTACAAGCAGTTGAGTTTGCAGTCGTTTTTTTGAACGCAGGAAACTTGCGTTTAGCAGTAGATTTTATCAGCATTTCAAATGCAAAATGCTTGTAAACGTGGCTAAATGCGGCTAACCGCGTTTATAGGCATTTGCATTTGAAAGATTTTTTTAACTCTTCCATTTCCAGATGATGTCCAGAGCCTTTTTTCATCATGCAAAATGCATGCA